CTGAGCGAGGAGGGTATCGGAAACCCATTCTGTTTACATGGTTTCGAAACCCTCCCATCCCTCCAGGGAGGCCCCGCCTGTTTCGTGCCCCTACCACCTCTCCGGGGCGGCCCCGTTTGAGCGAGGAGGGTATCGGAAACCGACACTATTTACATGGTTTCGTGCCCCTCCCACTGACATGGGTGAGGAGGAAGAGAACATTACCTATCCATCTCACGTCTTACTCCTCCCACTGAGGAGGGTGAGGAGGAGGGGGAGTTTTGCGATGAGGAAGGCTTCATCATGATGATGGTGATGACGATGGTTATACTGCTGTTCACGATGACGACGACGATGGCGATAATGGTGATGGACGATGACGATAACGGTGATTATGATGATGATGGTGATGATGCTGATGATGATGACGATGATGATGATGATGACGATGATGACAACGATGGCGACGACGACGACGACGACGATGATGATGATGATGATGATGATGATGCAGATGCTGGTGATGATGACGATGCCGCTGCTGATGCTGACGTTGCTGGTGCTGTTGATGATGATGACGACGATGATGTTGATGATCGTGACGTCCACGATGATGCGGACGATGATGATGCCAAGGACGGTGATGGTGATGATGATGACGATGCTGATGATGATGACGATGGTGGCTACGACGATGATGATGATGACGATGGCGCTGACGATGATGATGATCATGCTGATGATGATGAGGATGATGATGATGATGGTTATGATGATGCCGATGATGCTGACGATGATGCTGATGATGATGATGCTGATGATGATGACGATGATGCTGATGATGACGACGACGATGCTGGTGATGGTGATGGTGATGGTGATGGTGATGATGATGATGATGATGATGATGATGATGCCGAGGATGAGGAGGACGAGGAGGAGGAGGACGAGGAGGAGGAGGAGGAGGACTCGCTTGAAGGAGGAGGGTCGCGGACAGCATTACTCTTTACCAGGTTTCGTAGGCCTCCCCCCTTCCAGCGGGGCCCCGCCAGAGCGAGGAGGGTATCAAGAACCCGTACTATTTACAAGGCTTCGTTTCCTGAACACCTGTCCTCCCTCCTCCTTTCTTTCGTCTGCCCTCTTCGTGCGTACTTACTCGTTCGATGAGCTTCTCCTTCGTGTTGATGCTGTCGTACCCCATGGGTCCCACGAAACCGTTTATCTTTATATGGGGAACTCCGTTTGCATAATTTTACAATTGATTGGACTGCAATCGATTCCACTGGGTTTGCACTTGATTGGCTTGCAATCGATTGGACTGGAACCGCTCGGGGGGCGCACAGGGCAGCGACGAGGTGGCGGCGACGGGACGGTGACGGCGAGCAAGGAACCGCCAGACCGACCCTCAGGCCAAGACGACGGGCGGCGACGACGCAGCAAGGGGGGGCGACGGCAAGGACGGAAAAACCAGACCGCCCCTCAAGCCCAGACGACGGGCAGCGACAGGGCGGCAACGGCGAGGAGAGAGCCGCCAGACCGCCCCTCAGACCCAGCTACTAGGAAAGAAAGAAGGCCCCCTAAATGCAAACACTGTTTGGGAAATGTCATGATGTTCAATGATGTTCATCAGCCGGTGCCTGTGCGGGTGCCAGTGCCGGTGCTGGTGCCGGTGCGGTTGCGGGTGTGCCGGTGCCGGCGCCGGCGACGGCGCCGGCGACGGCGACGGCGCCGGTGCCGGTGCCGGTGCCGGTGCCGGTGCCGGTGCCGGTGCCGGTGCCGGTGCCGGTGCCGGTGCCGGTGCCGGCCGGTGCCGGTGCCGGTGCCGGTGCCGGTGCCGGTGCCGGTGCCGGTGCCGGTGCCGGTGCCGGTGCCGGTGCCGGTGCCGGTGCCGCCGGTGCCGGTGCCGGTGCCGGTGCCGGTGCCGGTGCCGGTGGCCGGTGCCGGTGCCGGTGCCGGTGCCGGTGCCGGTGCCGGTGCCGGTGCCGGTGCCGGTGGGCGAGAATCGCTCTATAGTGAGAGGGTGGGATGAGCGGAATTGTTGAGGAAGGTTGACAGGAGTTTAAGGGGGTGCGGGAATGTGGTCTTGAACTACTCGCAAATGGCCTTGGCCTTGGGCCTTGCGCCACCTCCGTTATGCGAATGACATCGTGTCGAGGTGCAGGGTGCCGTTCGATTCCAAACTTGGCGTTCCGGACCGCGTAAGCGCTGCCGTGAGTCAACCTCTGAGTCGCCTCGTCTAGCCTCGCGTACTCCTCAACAGATCAATGAACTTTCGCGTGTAGGACGTCCTGAATATGATGGTGGCCGGGCTTGCCCCGGGCGAAACAGAAGACTCCGACGTGCCTCCGATTCGTCAGGAACTTAACTTTTCTCATCGTAAACGCGCTCGCCGTGCCAGTGAAGTCCGCGCGCAGCACCGCTGGTCTATCAGCGACCTGCCAAGCGAAAACGAAAACATATCCCGCCACTTTCGATGTCTGAGGTCGGCAGGCGGGCACTTGGGCGTGCATGGCCCTGGGAAGGTCTCATTCCATTCGGGCCCATGAGCGCGGCCGACCAGACAGCCCCCTTCAACCCAGCGAGGAAAAGGTTTCGTGCCTGACCCGTCGATCGCGAAACCAATCTTCTGCACGTTGGCGCCGATCGTGGAGCTGACCATGTTCCCAGGAGCCGCAGGCGCATCTCATCTATTGCGGTCCACAATCCAAGCCTGCAGCTCAAAGTCCATCGGCGGGATGTCGGCATCACGATACCTGAAACACCCGCGTTGCATCATGTGCTAGGCAGGGCTGTCCTGCATTTCTTGCAGCAGCGCCCCGGTGACCTCAGGTTTTGCCGCGGCTGCCACCACATCTTGCAATGTGCAATCACCTCACCAGTGTGCAGCTGTGCCCGCCGCCCCGCACTTGCACTTCCCGTCCGAAGTGTCGCCGCACTGCCTGGCCCCTTCCCGCGCCCAGACTCCGTCACGCACGCTGATCATGATGCAGAAATTTTTGCGTCCGTTGCATGTCGTACTCTTTGGTCTTATCGAGGGCCCCGTAAAATCGAAAGTAACACTCCGCAGCGGATCGCTGAACCAATTTATGCCCAAGACAAAAGAGGTCATGCTGGCATGCCATATTCTGTACCATCACCCCCTCCAGCATCGGAGGGGTCATCTGCGTGATGTCGACCCCGTCGCCACGATACTTGATCCAGGCCGTACTTGATTCGATGCACCAGCCAACTTTCTGCACGCACAGCGAAGCCCGTTGGAGAGTTCACCGGGAGATATCCCACTTTGACACGGCACCAGGCGCAGTCACTGCCTGGCCCCACCGAAGTCCGCGACTCCAGGGTGATCACGTTGGCACCCTCTGATCTCTTGGACGCTATCCACCACATGCATCACCACTGCAGCGCTGGCGCCACCGCCTCACGATTAGCAGGATCACCAATGAGTGCTGTCTTGGCTGCAGCCGCCGGTACTCAAACCTGGTAGGATTTGCGCTGATTCTGGCACGATCACCGAAACAGTTCCAGGTCGTTCTCGCTCATGCCGTTGACCTCCAACTCGAATTACACCGCTGGCTTAACATCTGTCCTGTGGATTCGAGCGATCCTCTCCGAGGCTTTGACAAGAATCGCGCGCCTCACCTTGCCGAGCTTCCACCGACTTCTCGTGTACTAGAGCGCTCTCTCGCGATATTTCCCTCTAGTGCCTGGTGCCGCCCTTCTCCTGCCACCGGTGTATCCGGCCCCGAAGTAGCTTGTCGAGACACTCGCCGCAACATTACTGACCTTGAGCTCCTTGGCAATGGCAATGCTGATGTCGTGAGCACTGCTGGCGATGGCAAACTTGCAGTTGCTTCTAGCTCCCATTCCATTGGCCGTCCTGCAACACCCACGGTCTGCTGCAACTGCCTTTAGAATGACCTCCTGCTTGGTTGTGACTTCCACTCCAAAGCCTGTGTCGTACATGTAAGACGAGACGAATACGAGAAGAATCCATACAGGTGCATCGGTATGTGCCTGTCGTCCTCCTCTACAGCGTGCGACTTGATGTCTACGTCGGCGTCGACATCGCCTTCAGGAAAGACTAGTGTGGTATGATGTGGTCGGGCACCGTGGTGAGTCTTGGCTCTGACTATGCGAGGTCCACGCAGTTGATTGTCTTACCAGCTTCACCTGAGGTGTCGGCGCGCCCAGGTGACACAATTTGCCCCTCGCTTCTTCCAAAGGTATCGTATCGTAGTCTCTCCTGTGATCGGCCACTAGCGTCGCGGTCAAACGCTCCTGGATCACTGGGACTTCTGTACGAGCTGAAAGAAACCAAGCGCTGTCGATCGCTGATCTCCCTGCCGCAGCTCCGCAATATCGCTTGGCAATTCGCGATTGTCGGGTCTGTAACTGATATCGACGAGCCCTCTGCCAAACTCTGTAGGTTGACGGATACAGGGTAATCAAACTATGACCACCCATTGACTTATGTAACGTCGGCAACACCATCCAAGTAAGCTGACGAGGTAGAATACCTATACACTCGCTTGTTCCCCATCTCAAACTAAGCACGCCTAGTCTTGCATTCGACAGGTGCTGGTAGTGGGAAGGATGAATGCCGTTCAAGCCACTGGAGGTCCGCTTCAGGAAGGATGCAGAGGCCAGGCTTATCAGGAGAGAGGAGAAGGAGAAGAAAGAGGAGGAAAGAGGAGACAGGAGGAGGAGGAGGAAAGGATGATGAGGAGGAGAAATGATGATGATGATGATGCTGATGCTGATGCTGATGCTGATGCTGATGCTGATGATGATGATGATGATGATGATGATGATGATGATGATGAAAATGATACTGATGATGATACTGATGCTGATGATTGTGATGATGATGCTGATGAGCATGATGCTGCTGATGATGAGGAGGAGGAGGAGGAGCAGGAGGAGGACGAGGAGGAGGAGAAGGAGGAGGAAGAGGAGGAGGAGGGAGGAGGAGCAGGAGGAGAAGGGGGAGGAGGAGGTGGAGGAGGGGGAGAGAAGGTTTCCTCGACCCCGGTCTGCGGCATCGTGACTCGGAAGCGCCGCGGGGGCGCCGCGGCGGCTTCCGCCGCGCGCCCAACGAGGCAGGCCTCCGCCTGCAGGTCTCGGACCTGCGCCTCCAGCGCAGCGCTCTCGGTGCGCAGGGCCTGTGAGGGAGCCTCCTCCCTCCTCCCTCCCTCCTCCTCCCTCCTCCTCCTCCCTCTCCTCCATCCCCTCCCCCTCCCTCCTCCTCCTCTCCTCCTCCCCTCCTCCTCCTCCTCCTCGTCCTCCTCCTCCTCCTCCTCTTGCTCCTCCCTCCTCCTGCTCCTCCTCCCTCCTCCTCCTCCTCCTCCTCCTCATCATCATCATCCTCCTCCTCGTCCTCGTCCCTCCTCCTCCTCCTCCTCCTCCTCCTGCTCCTGCTCCTCCTCTCATTGAGAGAATCACGACGAAGATGTTTGCCAACGTTCTGCCTCTGCAATGGGGGCCCTCGCTGGGCCCTGGGACGGTCAACCGACACACGGCCCGGGAGGAGAAGACGGACCCGGGGAAGGGGTCCAGAACCCCGGGGAGCGACGGTCTGACCAAACAGCCAGACGTCGGATGCAGATTCTAGCGCGTCGCGCCGTCCGCCGCGCTCTCGTGTCTGTGCGTCGGGCCGCCTGGGACTCAGGGCTTGGCCTCCCTTCGCTGGGGAGGGGGGCGGTAACAACAAGCGTTCCCCCCTACGACGACGACGATGACGACGACGACAACGACGACGACGTCCCCTCCCCCCCCATTCCTGAAGAGGGTCGACAGGGGGGGAGGGCAGTTCAGGGGAGGAAACATGAAACATCAAGACTGAATCGGCGATGCATCGCCAACAGATCGGCCACGTCGGCCACGATGGCGAAACCACGCGCTCCTGGGCGGGGAGGGCTACCGTGCGCCTGTCGGCGATCAATTGGCGATCAGGGGTCGATGCGCCTTCCCCCCCAGGCCATCCCCCCCCCTGTCGCTGCCCCTGAGCCTCGTAGTGGCCGGCCCAGTCCTGCTCGCCAGAGCGCTCTGGCGCGCCGCTCAGCCGAGAGCCGGGGGTCGCTAAGGGCGTCCTTGGTCCAAGGATTGATTGTCATTGGAATTGGGGGGATTTGAGGGTTCTCACCCTCTTCGGGCTGCCGAGACTCCGAGACGGCCCAAGGGGACCCCAACATCGCCTCGAGGTGGCCCAGGTGGGCCCCAGGTGGGCCCCGAGACGGCAAAGCGAGCCCAAAGACGGCCCAAGAAGATGCCCACAAGGCGGCCCAGCTTTTCGCTTCGTTTTGAATCCACTGGGCCCTGGATCCCTCTGGGTCTCGTGAGGCGGCCTTCTAGAGGCCGCGGGCTCTCCGTGGAAGCCCTGGAGACGCCTTTCCTAAGATCCGACGTCAGGAAAAGCATGCAGCATCGTAGAAGACCTCGACCGGTGCCCTGGGCTCCACCTTTCTGCGGCATCTCGAGCCAGATCTATCCAGGAGAGCCCCCGGGCCCTAAAAACATGGCAAGCTCGCCCGTTGTGAAACATTACGGCATCAAGACTTCAGGGAGGGGCCCCGGGCCCTCTGGAGGCCTCCTTGGAACTCCTGGAGACGGCCCCGGCCTCCCGAAGGTGTGACCCTTTCGGTGCGCGGCCCCAGGCTGCCCGGGGTTTCGGGAGCGGCAAAGAGGGGGGTGTCCAAGAGGGGGGGGTGCAAATCATGACCGGCGGCATGTGCGCGGCCCAGCGGGGGGGCCAGGGACGTAATGAAATAAGAAGAGGCGCCATGAAAACTGAGGAAAAATCATGGCCCGCGCCATGAAATCCACCCCCCCCTAGTCATCACCCCCCTCTTTTCCGCTCCCGAGGGTGTCGGCCCCGAGCCCGACGGCGGGCCCCACGGGCCGAACCCGAAGAGAAGCACCGGGACTCGGAAGAAACAGATCGCCGGAGGTCTGCGCAATATTGTGTGACAGTCCTGGGGCCCGGCCAGCGAAGGCCCCCGAGGCCATCCGTCGTGTGAGGTCTCCGCAGAGACACGATCTCAGGCCCTGGGCTTCGGAGCCTAAGAGACGGGGGTCAGTGCAAACGGGGGTCAGCCAGGGCGCCAGATCCTGCAGGATCCTGCGAAGACCCCCTCTGGCTGACCCGGGTTAGGGAGCCGCTCGTGGCCGCGGGGCGGCCGCGCGTTCTGGCTGACCCGGTGCCCGTCGGTGCCCCGAGGGCTGAGGGGACAAAAAGAAACCGGTGCCCGTCGGTCAGAAGAAGTGGGTAGAAACACGAAGTAGGAAGGAGCTGGAAGTAGAGTGGGTCCCCACCCTCCCCCTACAGAGGAAGAAGAAGGGGAAACCACTGGAGCATCGCAGTAGGAAGGTGCTGAAGGTAGACAGGAATATGAAGGTCAACGAATACCTACTTTCAATGACCGACGGGTACCGCTGCTCCCTGGACCTCTCCCAAGGTGCGTTCTGATTCGGATTTCGAGGCGCATCCAGCCGTGGCGACGAGGGCCTCCCAGAAGGCCCCCCCAATTGGCGAAAACGAGGCACCGGCAGCTATAGATGAGGAGGAGGAGGAGGAGGAGGAAGAGGAGGAGGCCGGAGGAAGAGGAGGAGGGGGCCGGAGGAGGAGGGAAGAGGAGAAGGAGGAGCAGGAGGAGGAGCAGGAGGAGGAGGAGGAGGAGGAGGAGGAGGAGGAGGAGGAGGAGGAGGAGGGAGGAGGGAGGAGGAGGAGGAGGAGGAGGAGAGAGGAGGAGGAGGGAGGAGGAGGGGACGAGGAGGAGGAGGAGGAGGAGGAGGAGGAGGAGGAGGAGAGGAGGAGGAGGAGGAGGAGGAGGAGGAGGGAGGAGGAGGGCGAGAACGAGGCAAGGGTGGCGGCATCGGTACCAGGCTCCTCCTCTGACGCCCTGGGCCCGGGGCACCCCTAGCAGCACCCCGAGGAGAGGGCGGGGGCGCCGCGCCCTGCAGCTCGCCGAGCTGCTCGCGGAGCAGCGCGGCGCGCTCGAGCTCCAGCCCGCAGGCGCTCCTCCACGTGGAGGCCTCGTCGGACTCCGCCGCGCGGCGGCGCGCAGGGGGGAGGCCCCGGGCGATCGAGGAGGGGCCTTCTGCAGACCTCCACCGCTCGGCAGCGCGGAGAAGGCGGGCAGAGGGGAGGAAGGGGGGGCCTCTCAGGAGGCCGCTCCTCAGGGAAGGCGCCGGCCCTGCGTCCACAGGCAAGGCCCGCGCCTGCCGAGGAGGGGTGCTCTTAAGAGGTCCTCCCCACTCCCCTCACCCCCCTCTGCGCGCGGCCGAGACGTTCACACTGCACGTCAGAGGCAATCCGCACGGGCGCTCGAATTGTCGGGGGCGCTCGATGAACGAACTGTCCGGCAGCAAGGGGGGGCATGCGAGGAGGAGGAGCGGCCGCGGAAGCAGCGTACTGACGCATCCCATGCGTAAAGATTGAATCCTTTTCGGCCTCCGATGGGCCCTCGCTGGGCCAGGGTGTCGGCAAAAATACGGTTCGGGATGAAGAGCGGATCCCGGGGAAGGAGTCGGGTCTTACAAGGACCCCTAAGAGAAGACACGATACGCTGGATCTTGCCCTGGGAGGCGGCCAAAGAGGCCTCTCGGGAGGATCGGTTCCAAATCGGCGGGGCGTCAGTACATTGAGGCAGTACTCGAACCCTCGCACACAGGGACTCCTGAGCAAAGACACGATACGCGGGATCTTTGGGCCTTCATCGGCCCCCTGAGAGGCGGTCCAGGAGGCCTCTCGAGAGGATTGGCTCCAAGTCGACGGGGCGCCAATAAATGACAACATATTCGGGCCCTCGTGCACTTCGGCGGGGTGTCAGTACATCGGCGAAGTATCCGAACCCTCGCACACTTGAGGGGGATGTTCATCACCCCCCCGCTTCCGAAATAAACGTTGATGTTAGCATCTGTGGTGGTTTAGGGGTTCGAACATTTCTGTCCACCCATGCCCTCTCCATTGCCGCACCCTCAATCTTAAATTTGGGGGTCTGGGGGGGTATCTTGCGCCGCAAGATTCGAACCTATCGTCCATGTACGGGCCGCCTCAGAGATGCCGCCCCTCTCGCCCCCCTCGGCCCGCCCCACCACGCAGGAGTGCGATCGATATCCCATCTCCTGGGCCCCTCCCTTGGGGCCCGTCCGGGCCAACCATGCTCATGACCGAACCGCGCCTCGCCGAGACCGCGAGGTCCAAGACAGGGGTCTACCAAGTGGGGTCGGAGGCTCACGCCACGTCACCGATGCACCCGGAGATCCGACGTCACGAATAGCATGCAACATCGTGACAAAAACAACCGGCCAAGCAGGAAGGCTGATAAAGTTTATCGGGATCAGACCCTCCCACATAATCACAAAACACACCAAAAGCATATCTGTTCTTGAAATAGGAAGGCGCTCGAAGTAGATTGGGATCTGGGAATTCAAAAATATTTTCTTGTCAACGACCGATGGGTAGCCCTGGACCCAACCTTGCTGCGGCATGCTTCGAGCCGGACCGATCCGTGTGGGCCCCGGGCCCCGAAGCAGGGCAAAGCCTGACCCTCCGTTGCCGAACAACGGCGACGCGAAGATCTCATGGGATGTTCGTAGACTCGCGCCGAAATTGCCGATGCGTCGGTGATGCATCCGCGCGGTGCATCGGCGACGCCGGCGTGGAGAAGATTGAGCTCTACATCGAGCCCGTCCTCCGACCTGTGCGCCTTTTTTTTCAGCATGTGGCTTCCCAAGAGATGCCGACCCCTTCCTCGAGGCCGGCTCTTCATCCTGTCGTGACGGCCCTGAAGCCCGGTCAGGGCCCCCAGAGCAGAGGCCGACAGCGGCCAAACCCCCTCCGTCACATACGTCGCGAGGGGGTCAGGGCAGGAGGGCCCCCCACGAGGCTTCCCTGGGGCAAGCTCTGCAGGCCGAGATCCTGGTGGCTCCTTGGCCCGGCATCGGGTCCCGGAGGTCGAGGTCCCAGGGGCAAAACGAGCACTGAGCACAGAGCACATCGTCGGATATCTGGGTTTCGGGGAGGCCTGGGCAGGGCGCCCCTGGCCCGGTTTTTTATAGCCCTGGGGCCCGATAGCAGGCACCAGAGGCCGAAATCAAAGAAGCACGACGGGATTGCGTCAACATCAAGGACAGATCACAAGAATGTTTAGAACGATGTGGCATTCCAAAATGGCAAACGAAACGAAGCCCAGCTTTGCAACGAACGTTTATAACAAAACCACTGCAGCACGAAACGAACAACGAAATGATGCGTTAAAAAATCCAAACGAGCAACGAAACGAATAACTTTTGCGTCCGCGGGCACAAGCGGGCACGATGCTGGTGCTGGTGTGAATCCAATAAACAGGAGGGGCGGAGAAGGAAGTGCCGCTCAACAAGTGTAATACATCACGGGCGTGCCGAAGATGAGCAGCAATTGCAGGGATGCACCATGAGGCGGCCCACGAGGCCGAAGGCAGACAAACACGACAAACCAAACGAAATGCGAGACAGAGGCCCAAACCAAGCCAAACAGCGTTGATTTGAGGCGCGCAGAGGGGGGTAGGGGAAGGGGGGAAGGCTTCTTAGAGGGAGGCTGCTTCGTAGAAGGTGCCAGCCTCACATTGACAGATAAGGCCCGCGCATTCTAAGAAGCAGCCTCCTTCTAAGAAACAAAAACCTTCTCCACTCCCCCTGCCGCCCCCTGGCGCGTGGCTGGCAGGCTCCCTCGCGCCCTGAACAACAGCGACAGAAAGAAAGGAACATCTTTGTATGCTTCGACCTCTGGGGTCTCTGCCCGGCCCCGGGGCAATCAAGCACGACTCGGGGTGGAATCGGTTCCAGGGCAGCGGTCGACACCTCCAGGGATCCACGCACTAAGCCGTCGGAGATCTGGTGGGACTGGGGATGGGCGGGGGCCTAAGGCGAAGGCGGGAACTGAGGCAGAGAGAAGAGTGGTGGAAACGTAAGGGAACGCAGGAGAGCCCAGGATCCAATCGACAAGTCGGATCGGCGATCGAAACGAATCGGATCGGCGGACATCGGCATACCGTATCGGGATGGGTCGAATCGGCGGAACTCGGCGGGCTAGTATACTAAGGCCTCCGTTGAGAAAACGGAGCCCACATCGGAATCCGACATCCCATCGAATCGGCAGCGGAAGCCGCCGACATCGCATCGGCATCGAACCGGAGGACCCGAAACCATCACGGGGAGCGTGCGCGGGGCCGAGCTGTGGTCGGCCACTGAAGCCACTCGGCCCGAGGAGGCCCGCGGGCGGGAGGGGCTCCGGGCAGCCCCGCCCTCGACCGCCCGCGGAAGCGCCGCCCCGCTGCGCCCGCCGAGCTGCCCCGCGGGACGGCGCCCCGCGCAGCCGCTCCTGGCGGCGCCAAAAATACGGATCCCGCCACTGACGAGCGAACAACTCACACCCATACCCATAGGAGGGTCGAAAGGAGGGGAACTGGCTATGGGTATGGGTGCGAGTCGTCGGACCCTGGGGGAAGCTCCCGTTCGAGCGGGGACCCCCATCCGACAACACGCACCCATAGCCTCCTCCGTCCCCCCTGTGGGTATGGGTGCGTGTTGTTCGATCGTCAGCCACTCCCTGAGGGCCAACGCTCTACCTCCTCCTCCCTCCTCCTCCTCCCTCTGTCCTCCTTCTCTGCCCTCCCTCCCCTCCTCCCTCCCTCCTCCTCCTACTCCCAGAGCCCCTCGCGTTGTGAAGAGATCACGGCAAGAAGTTTGCCGCTCTTGTCGGCCCCTGGGCGCCCCTGCCGGGCCCCGGGGCCGTCCAAAAGCGGCTCAGGATGACAAACCGGTGCCGGGGAAGGGGTCCAGACCTCTGGGCGTCGACGTCGGGGGTCTGGGTAGGGGGACCGGCATATAGGGGGAAAGATCGACCCGGAATCGGCACGGCATGACCGATAGATCGGCGATGGGCCCCCGAGGGCGAATTCTCACGTCTCGGGGCAAGGTGGGGCTGTCGGGCCCCATATCGGCGATGAATGGGCGATTGAGGGTCGATGCAGTCGCCCCGGAGCCTATCCCCCCTGATCGATGCAGTCCCCCCTGAGCCTATCCCCCCCGATCTCGGGAGCGGCCAAGAGGGGGGTGTCCAAGAGGGAGGAGTGCAAATCATGACTGGCGGCATGTGCGCGGCCCAGCGGGGGGGCCAGGAACGTAATGAAACAAGAAGAGGCGCCATGAAATCTGGGGAAGTATCATGGCCCCCACCATGATATCCACCCCCCCCCCGTCATCACCCCCCTCTTTTCCGTCCCGGACGATCGTTGCCCCTAACTCCGCAGACCTCTCCTGGGGCTTAACGAAAATGACCACAACCACTGCTTTGTTTCTGCTGGATGGAAGGCGGCAAGAAAAGAAAAGCAGTGGCTGTGGTCGTTTTAACGTCCCGTACCTAACTCCACAGACCTCTCCCAGGGCGCGCTCATGCCGTTCAAGCTCTTCTTTTTTTTGGCATAACGACAACCACTCAGAGACCTGCGCTCTTCTTTGCACCCTGCCCGACGAAGTGAAACGGATGAGCGCAATATGCGCCTTGCTTCAAACACCGTTGCACTATAGTGAGAGAGCGACAAGACAGGAACAAGAAGCGGAGTCCCGCGCGTGCGTACGCTCACCGAGCCTTGCCAGCGGCACTCGCACCGAGCCTTGCCGATCGTTCAAGTCTTTCTTAGCTAAAACATCCCCAGTTGAAAGGCTCAGGTTGGAGCCAGGGGCCCTCGGTGGCACCCACCAGTCTCTATAGGGCGTCGATCGTTCCACCTTGAGCCAATCGCGGCCCAGGCCGCTCAGAAATGAACTCCGTCGCGTCCCGTGGCGTCGCCCTGCCCCTCGGTGCCTCCACGTCGCTCTGTCGTGCGGCGCTCAAACTTGAACGCCATCTCGGGCGTTGCCTGCGCGCCGACGCCGCACGCACCCACCATGTCCATGCCGCATAACGGGGCCCTTTTCTGACCACGGCCAGCCTAGGCCACAAACAGGTTCCATAGCACAGATCTAAAGAGCGGCCCGAAAACCCGAGCCCCTCCTGAGCCCAAAGCGGTCCTTCTTTCGGCGTCGCGACTCTACGTTGGGCACTGGTTGAGGGGAGGCGATGCGTGGAAGGGGGGAAGACAGGTGCAGTTTTCGGCGTTCGGGATCCAGAGGCCCCCTTTTGGATCCCAAAGGACCCCTTTGGGGGCCCTGCAGGGCTCCTCTTCTGCAGCCTTCGCTGCCTCATCCAGTGCCCCCCATACAGCGACGCCCAGGTCTGGATACCCTTTCCTTGGGGGGGGGGGGGGGGGATCTCCGACGGCACGACTTTCGCCATCGCTCGGACGCCCATTCCCCGTGCATTTGTTCGGCTTCGCGCATTTGTTCTTCGCAAGATGGTCCCGGCTGCTCCTCACTGGTCCTCGCCGAGGAAGAGTGCACATGTCCGAGCGATGCCAAGCGTGTCCTTCTTTGAGCGTCTTGATGTTCGACTCCCGAAACGGGTTCGAGGAAAACGCGTACGATGCCTATCAACAAATGTTGTCCGAAACCGAGATGCCGCTGTTGGACAGGCGGCCGTCTGTTTCGAATGGACCGCGTCCGCGGCGGCGCGGACAGCGACTCCTGTTCAAAACGCACAGAAACTGTTTTTGGACCTTGCACAAATTATTGTCGTTCCGACTTCGATCGTGCCGATTCCGAGCGGGCCAGGGGGGACCAAACACAAGCGCGCGAGACGCTACTGTCGCATCGCGTTCGGCGATCGGGAGACACTTTTGGGACGGGCTCAAATGTCACTCCCACGAAGGGCCACTCTTTCGTCTACTCGACCAAATTGGTCCTTCTTGAAGCGTCTTGTCTGTCTAAGAGGCCTTTTATATGAAGTCCGAATAGATTGGGTCGGAGGATCGCGCCGCATGGCCCATATACATCGGCGATGCATCGGCGATGCACCGGCGATACATCGTCGACATCGGCGATGCAGCGGCGACGTCTACGTGAAACACATCGGGCTCCGCATCGGTGATGCGGCGCGATCCCCCTGTGATATGGATTGGCGCGCGGCGCCGGAGAGTTTTTTTTTGTTTCTCTCTATCTCTCTCTCTCTATCTCTCTCTCTCTCTCTCTCGGGCGGCGAAGTGACGCGTAGCTCTTGCGCCAAGGGCCCTAACATTAGTAGGGCCGAGATGGGCAGCGGGAGACAGGGTGAGAGCAGCAGTGGGGAGACAGCAGGGGCCGCGGCGGAAGCTCGGCGGAAGGGCGATCGGCATGCGATCACATCGACCGAAACCACACTCCTCCTGTTTGGCGCCTCGGGCAGCCGGAGCGACGAACACTGCGCCTCGGTCGCAACTCCATTATCTCGGATGGGCATTGAGTGCCGGACGCGACACTTCTCACGCGAGAGGGGCAAGCGAAAGGCTTGGCACGGCTTGCGCCAGGGAGCCTCGGGCTATGGGTTATTATGGGTCAGCTGCGTAAACCTGAAAAATCCCACCTCGGCGCGGCGGGCGCTTGGCAGGTTATTCTCATTATGTGATGAGAGACATCGATGGATGCGTGGGTGTGGTCGACACCGCATTAAAAAACAACAGAACTGTGCACACTGAGTGTGGACCTTCTTGCAGGCGCGCAGATTTATGTGCATATGTGGAAACACCAAACATGCGGACTTACGTGGAAGAGGGATCGCCTTGCGACCGTCAAGAAACACGGCAAAACAGTGCAATGCGGACTTGCGTAATTTGGGTCGTTCTGCGACCCCTGCCAAAGAAACATGCGAGACGCAACAGCGGGGGAAATCATCCACCCAGCTTTTGCAACCTTGCTGCCCTTCGTAGTCGGGTAGCTCCTTGTGAGCTGCCTCCAGCGATGGCTCAGTTCCCATCTCGGCGTGTAGTTCGCGCGTGAGAAATCGGGCTGGCGCTCTCTAGAATTGCAGTGTCCGGCTCGAAAGTTGCGCGCTGCAGCCGCGCAGGGGATTCATCGCCAGCGGTGCGACCGTAGGCTTAGATCCGCTCCGCGAAGCCACGCCCGTACTCGATGAGCTGGTGACTGAGACCACGCTCGGTGATGACGGTGCTGACGATCCAATCCCCGATGCTGGTGTCGGCGGCGAGATCGCAAGCCGCGGCTCCGCCCGCGCCGGTGGCGGGAGCGGCGGGTGCAGCGCGCTTGCGCTGGCGAAGGCTGCCGACGAGCTCGATGCCTGGCCGCTGCCGTGACCGCCCATGAGTGGCGCGTAGATGTCACCACCTTGATCTCGCTCTTCTGGGATGGTCGGCTGCCTCATTGAGTGGTTGCGCCTGCCCAGACGTCATCAGTCCCGATCGGGATGTTCGCCGTCTTCCGCCATGGGCTCTGATGCTGGCGGAGGCTCGCACAATGGGAGCAGGTGATTCTGCCTCCGGATCGCCCACGGGCTTACGAAGATGCCACACCCGATGATGATGCCCAGAAAGATGGCCAAGCAGGTCAGGTAGCACGTGTAGCAGTGGAACATAAAGTCGTTGGGCGAAATAAGCGATGGCGCAGACTACTCCTTGACCCTGCCGAGGCAGGTGAACTGAACCGAAGCGAGCATGGCGGCGCGCGGCTGCATGGTGCCGCAGGTGTGCTTGTGGGCCCCGAAGAGAGCAACGCGCCGGCCTCTATCGTCTCCGTCAAGGCGTCTCAGAGTCTGCGAGCAAGGCCCAAGTAGGAATCCAATTGAGCCGCAAGGCGCCGTTCGAATGCACGGCCGCCTTGATCATGGAGCCGGTGATGCGGAACCGCTTGTCCGTGGATTGGCCTAGATCAGACTGGATGTGCGCCACGAGGCCCTGGCTGTCGCTGTAACCCTCCGAAGGTCGCTCGTCCGCGAGCTCGTCGATCACCTTGAGCGGCTCCGTGGGGTTATAATAAGCCTCGGTGAGCAGCTGGCAGAACCAGATGTTGGTCTTCGGCGAAGACCAACATCTGGTCTTCGCTCCCACCGAGGGTCGCGTAGCCCTCGGCGGCGAAGGTCGGTTCCACCGACCTCTTTTCTGTGCCTGAATGCAAGGCCACGGGTGAGCACAGGTCGAACCAGCCTCCGATGACATCCCGTGGACGATGCGCGAGCCTCACCAACATGCCCCACTGGCTCTTGACCCCGTCTACGTTCGCGGACGCGGCGTCGCTGAAACACGCTGTGGCGCACGCCATTAGGTCGGCCAGGTTCCGTTTGAGCACGGTCGCGAAGTTTGCCGTGGAGCGCGCGCAGGCGACGGTCTTGATCAGCGTCTTGGCGTCGGCCACGGTGGCGGCATTCGCGCGGCAAGCGGCGATGTCGACCCGGGCCTGGACTGCGAGTCAAAGCAGTTGCCCGAGCGTGCGTCGATATCCTGACACTTCCGAGGT